CAACACAGCCCATCTTTTTAAAGCTGGAAATACACATGTAAGTACATGTATTTCAAGCTTAAAAAGAAGGGCCCTGATATTTCCAAAGCTTTCAGTGTGAACTGTTGCAAAAATAATATTCAGGATGTGCTTAATACAGATTCAACCGTCTAACAGTATTTCGTGATATTTGAGCTGAAAGAGGTTCATTTATCTTCAACTTATGTTATATTTAAGTCATATTCTCTCAACACTGAAAATTTGATTGATGATGGTGTTTGAAAGTTGTTCGCAATTGTTGGTGTGATTATGATTTCCTAATAGAGGGGAGCCTGGAAATTGAAAGGGTTCAAGTTTTTCACAATAGAGAGTTAATGTACCCCGTCTAAAAGATGTAATGTTCCCCTAATTTTCCCTGTACTCAAAACAGCCCCCTCAAAATACAAGTCAGGAGTTCGGAGTCCTTCAGGAGTTCCAGTCATAGTTCTTGAAAGCTGTTTGTCTTATTTTATGAGATCCATACACATGCACACTCAAAGACAAGACCCCTTTGCAGACGATTTTTTTTTAATTCTTTCTGTCATTTTGTTTTTGTTTGCTGTGAAAACGCTCTACCCTTGATGCGCAGTTTGTCCAAATCTATTAGATCTATGGCTTTATTTATTTTCCCTCTGCTGTATTTATCCTCTAAATATGACTTGGGTCCCTCATAATGGAAGGTGCTTTCGTTGCTGTCAAATGCCATTGTGGTTTAATTTGCTCTTCTACTTGACATTGATATGATTTCGCATTTGTTCCTTTACCACACTTTTATGCGCATCAAAAAGTCTTCACATTTGATTGATTCCTGTAGTTATTCTGGATGATTTTTTGGAAAGTTGCTCCAGAATTTTGTTGTGGAAATTTTAGTTTAGAAAGACGGTACCCAGTCACCTATATCTTTTCAGTAATTTTAAATGGAGTTTTTCATGGCCTTCCTTAAGGCTTAACCCTAACCCTCCTCAATCCTTCACCTGTTGGAGGACTGAGGAGTGTTAGGCTTAATTTGCAAATTGCTGAAACCATTCTTTTTTTTACCCTTTTACTGCTTCAAATGGACTGACCTTGGTCTTGTTATGAAAAATCAGGTTGAATGTCTTGGGAAAAGACCTTACTGAATAAGGGCTTACCTTGTGACTCAGATATTTATCATAATCTGCCTGCCCCTTCGAAAAGTAAAACTTCTTCCATGGTTCTTGGGTTTTGTTCCTGAGGCATTTGTCCAAGGGTTATTGTGTTAATTAGATCAGGCAGCAATATCTGGTAACCTATCGTAACTCTTCCTGAATGCAAATCACCAGAAAAGTTGCCAGGAAAAACACGCCCCTGAAAATTTAATCTCTGCAAAGTTAACAAGGGCCTGCAGTTTTTCAAGTTTGTATCAATCAGCAATGGGCTATTAAGTGCTTCAGTAATTTGGAGCCAGATCCTGTGATCGAGGCAGGGGGCTTGCCAACAGGGCCAGGGATTTGGCAGGGGGTAGTGTAGGAAATTGAAACGTCGCACCTGTTGTTGTAATTTGATTGAAAACACCGCAGGAAAACTTTCTAAATGGCTAGGTAGGGAATTTTTGGTTTGCATATGAAGAGTGCGATGGTCCAAACAGGTATTCACAGTTGTTAGGAAAGAGAGAGCAGTCTTGCTTCAAGTTGGTCTGGAGGGAAATTGGCAAATGAAATTCCACTTTTCATTCTGACACTCCATTGATGTACATGTACATTGAAGAATCTTTGTTATGGTTTGTGAATGTTCCAACGTTTTATGTTTGTGGTCAGGTTGGCCATTGGTCCATATTACTTCTCAACAGAATCGTCCAGTCACTTTTATTGTATTTTATAGTAAGATGTGTAGGCTCTGAAAAGGTTTGTGATTGGTCCAAGGTCTGAATGATCTTACTAGATGATAGAATGACCAAAGGCACTCACAGATTATAGATATATTGATTGGCTCAGTAACCAATCACATTTGTCCTTGTATCCAGTCCAAACATGCACAGAATATGAGAACAACACTGATTGCATCAAAGTATTATGAGTAACGCTATACGCAGGAACTATGTACATTTGCACATGCACATTTTAGCTTACCGGCACTTCCCTGATAACACCAGACACTTGTTGTCTGTTAAGCTGAATAACAATTGCAGCAGTGACCTCTTGGAGGTCGTGTTGGTTCAACTGTTCACTTTGGGACTGGGGAAAAATAAAAGGATGTTCTGCTTGGTGCTTTCTAAGGATTCATGGCATTTCAGAATTTTTATAGATTTTCGTTACACCATTGACAGTCTAGTGGTCTGGGACAAAACTGAACATCTTGCAAAAGAAGCACTGTGCAACAACAATGGATGCTCACTGTTAGTGCACTTTCTTTTGTTAGATGTTCGTAGTGATACATACATACATGTACGTGTACATGTAGAGAATGCAGAACATCATTTTATAAAAACAGGCCATATGCAGCTGTGCTACATTGATAATTTGGGTCAGAAACGTAGCCTTTGTCTTTGGTACTTCACATTGTTTTGTATAGTGCAAAGGCAGCGTTTGGCAGTTGCCAGGCTAGATCTGGTATGTACATGTACAAAGTATGTGTAAATTGAAGGACTTCCACCTCTGTAATTGAATGATAGTTTGCAGTCACGTTCGTGTGCGTGTAGATTTGAGATGCCAGTGTTACTCAGAATCATGCACTTTCTGTTCTGAGGAAAATGAAGAGATTTTGATGTTGGTGTGTTTCATGGTGCAGTGCAAAATGGGCTCTGGAGTCCCTGGAGATGCACTTTGGCCAACTGAATTGTGAACAGTGACCTTTTGTTTTGCACTAGAAGCTGGAAATGGATGTTGTGTGTCGCGTGCTACATGTTACTTTCAAGCAAACAATCTCCGTAACCTGCCCAACTTACATGTATTTAGACTTGTACTGCGAGTTGCATCATTTAATTGCCAAATCGCTGCTAAATACTTCATAATCATAATGATGTCTGAGTCTTTGTTGTTTTTAAAAGACAGGGCAGATACAAACAAATCATTACCCTTTTTAGCATTTGTTTTGTTTTTGGTATTCAAATCAAACCAGAAATTTGAAAGTCTAAAATATTGATGGAATAATATAATACATGTAAATGAAAACTGCCAAATGCATAGGGCTGAAATCGATTCGAATAATTCACTAGTTGAATATTAAACCCTCAATTTGATCGAATATCCAAATATTCAGTCGTACCGACCGGCAGATTATTGATGATCAAACCATATACAAAATCAATTGCAATAACACATGCAGTTGTACATTATGATCAATATAATAGCTTCTCACATCTAGGAGTATCTCTAGCCGTGATTTAGCAAGATTCAAGAGATGAACAAGACTTCTTGCCCTGTTGATAATTCCTTTTAAATAGTTCAATGAATAATTTACTTCTAAAATCGCTGTAAGATTTCTGACGCTTTTCATTTGAATCTGCTTGAAACAAGCCTCCATAGTGCAATTTTTCTCATTTTCATTTGCTCCTGCTTTGCTTGATGCAAAATTGACCATCGTTTAAAGTAAAAAAAAACAAAAAAAAACTGTTGTTGCTAAAGAGTGCAGTGTCAGTGAACCTACTAGGCTTAAGCTTTCTGTCCTCACGTCCTGGGAGCTTTGTACACAGGCAATTTGTATGATAATTTGACAGGGATTCACCAGGCCACTTGAGACTGAACTGCGTTATATTTAGTGAAGAGTCCTCGTATGGTGCATCTGGGGTTACAGAGCCAAGATAATTGTAGCTGATTACTTAGACATTAATTTCAGGGTTTGCATGACAGATTGGTTCTCACCATGATGAGTTTTTCAAAATATTCAGACAGGCTTTGCCTTTTCAGTGTACATGTACATGTAGTTGTGTTTCTGCTGAGCTGTTTTAAAAGTGCATATTTTTTTTGTACCAAACAATAATTGGTGAAAGTGAACATCAGAACATGTTGGGAAAAGGAATTTTTTTTTCTCAAACGTAAAGCAGATATTTTTCTTATGTTCTGCAGTTGCTGAGCACAAAAAATTGCTTTGATTGGCTAAGTGAATTGAAACTCATGAAACAATAAATGACGTTTTTAGTGTCTGTGTTCGCTCATAGCATACTTGGTCATTCAATTGTAGCTCAACTTGAATTTAAACAATTTTTCTCTTGAATTGGGCAACACACTCAGGTTAATCTGTCCTCCTGCTCTAACCTAGGAGCAATTGTGGTACAAAATGTCAATTCCAGCCACTTGTGATTGCTTCCTTAACATTTCAAGGTTCCACTCGATGATACCCCACCATGAGGGCTGAAGCATCTCATGCTGACAAATTACCACTGGCTTTCCCCTCCCCAACCATGAATCAATTTCATGGGAGAGCTGCCTTGTAACTCTCATAATCTCTCTCCCGTCACGTCAGGGACTTGGTAAATATAGCAAGCTGCTCTACTGTCAAAGTGACAAACGGATAACAGCGTGCAACTCACCAACCCAGTGAAAATTGGCGGGGTGTTTGTTTTCCAACGTTTCCCTTGGCTTGCTTGCGTGACTGGGGGTTGAAAGGAGCTTGCTGAGGTGGAAAGTTGTACACCTGCGTTGGGTCCAGGATCCGTGCTCGCCTGAAAAGGAAATCAGTACGTGGCTGCATTGAGTCGTGGAATGCATCGTATGTTGCTCTGGCATTGTTCACTGTGCCATACTGTTCACATTGTCCCAGACTTTAACAGTAGTTAACATTGAACTGACAGCACTGGATGACTTAGTGGACTCTGTATCTCTCTCTCTCTCTGAATTGAAGTTTACAATCAGTGTGATTGTGGACGACATTTTGGATGTTGTCCTTCAAATGGAATTCGTGAGGATGATTTGTCACTGAGTGATTGGAAGCAACTGTGAGTTTAAAATTTTGCGGTGATTTTTCAGTTTTGCTTCAGGATAATTTGTTCAAGTTGGAGCTTTTCCCTAACAAGTTTTTATCATCAGATTTGATTGTGACTGGTATCCTCTGTGTTCCTCTTCAAATATCAATTGTGATTGGACAGCTGAGGTAAAGCCCATTCCTGTAAGTTTCAGATTTTCTGCACTGCTATCATATCAGAGGATCATCAAACGCTAAAAATCAAAGATGGGTCGGCGAGACAACGGAACCGGGCGAAAACGGAATTCTTACGCTAGCAATGGACACCACAAACACACCAACAACAATAACCACCACCATCATCATCACCATGGAAAAGCCAATGGATTTGAGCCAGTCCGGAATGGGAAACTTCACACCTCCTCCAGGACTGCCAAACAAAATGGTCAGCAATCCTTGGCATGGACTCACTACGTATCGATGGTCGTAGGATTCATGCTAGCATTGTATTTGGGATACAGGAATGCCTGCTATATCGACGCCTTACATGAAAATCGACTGTGGTTCTCAAACATCAAGGTAAAGCATTCTTTTGTTCAGAATTACATGTACATGCGTATGCAAATAAAAGATATTTTTTGATATCTGACTGGGCAAAAATCTGTTACAATAACCATACTCAACTTTCTAAAGTGGTCTAGTAATTTGACACTTTGTGTATCTGTCAAACTGCTGCTCAATTTTTAAAATATGGAAACAGGAAAGTGGAGTTTGAAAATAGCAAAACAGATCTACATGTACATTTTGGGAAAACTGATTGGGAAAGAAGGCAAAATATGTACAAGGATACCAGCATTTATGCTGACAAAAAGTGATATGATATTACTAGTGGAATGCTACATCCTGAATCTAATTTTAGTTAGGCATTCCTTGAACAACTTGAAAAAAAAATCAAAAAAGAAAAAAACTGACATTGACAGAAAAGGTTGAGAAGAATGTGTCAGGTGCGTCATTCACACTTGCCTCTCCTCCATAATTCAAATCCGCAGCCTTTAGTGTAGATCCCAGCATTGGAATACATCCTTCCATCATAATCCCTCTCAAAACAAACAAGTTTTCAACACCCTTGCTATGGATATCCCCAAGTCCCATGCTTGGCTCACGTCACACAATATGCTAGCTTTGAAACTGAAGAGTCCTTTGTTTAATCATAATTGGGCACCTTGGTTGGAAAGATGTAACCAATTAAGGTAAAATGTATACATGTACATGTATCTCAGATTTCTTTTAGATGTATGTGTGTCAGTTGTTCTGATGCTTCAGGAACGAATTGGGTTGTTTTTGTCCTTGTTTTGAAATCAGGTTTGAACAGTTTCTTTCCATGGATCATGAAATAATGGATCAGGGCATCTCACGTTTTCCTTTTTTTTTCAAGCTGCCTAGGGGCCTATTTCT